TATATATATATATATATATATATATATATATGATGAGATACAAATGGATATATAAATATAATGAAATCTAAGCCACCATTTCTATTCTCCTGGTTTTAAGATGAAAATAATGGTAATACTAATACTGAAAACGTAATCTGGTTGATGACTACAGTATCTGTATTTCCGTACTTCAGTGTTATATAATGAAAAAAATATTCTAAATGAAACTTAGTGATTGTGTGGAAATCTGAGGCTGCCATTGCTCTTCTGATGAAAACATGCTTCTTGTTTTTGTTTTGGGTCAAACCAAGTTGTGGCTAAAAAGCTGAGACTACTACTTATATAAAATAAACTATAGCTAAAAGGTACTTTTATTATTATCATTATTATTATTATTTGACTGTAAATTACATGTGAATATTTAGACTATGATAATATTTGATTTATGAATCAATCAAATCGATTTATCTACTGTTTTCTTATTTATTTGCTCTGAAGAAATCAATAAAACTAAATGGTACTTTTATTTTTCTTAAACCTACTTTAAGCCTGTCCTCGTACTTTATTTTGTTCAGTCTTGAAAAACAAGCAGAAACTCGTTGATCCCTGATGACATGTCTAACGGTGGGCTGTGTTCACTGTATATGACCGTGTGCGCGTGTCTGTGCGCGTGCGTGTGTGTGTGCGTGTGTGTGCATGTGCGTGTATGGAGCTTTTCAGTGAGTCACCTTAAACACACACTGACTGAAATCTGCTTGATCGTGTTCTTCTCCACTACCTCTGTCCTCCTTTCTGTCTCCCCTGGTCCTTCACTCTCATTCCTCCTTTTCCATTTACTGCTTTTTTATGCTCATACACTCTCTCTCACCCCACTCTGTCTCTCTTTCTCTCCCCACTCTGTTGATTTTTAAGGTTTTGTGGTTCGTTCCTCTCCAGACTCTAATGAGCTCCAGGGGGAAAATTAGTGCTGGAATAACAAGCAAACATCAACATCATCTCCCGTCTTCTTCCCGATCCCTCCTTCCTCCTGTTCTTCCTGCTTTCACTGTTCTTCTTCACCTGAAGTCATGTCCTCTGTTCATCGTTTGTTTTTCCAACACTTGATTCTCCTTGTATTCCCGCTTTTCACATCTTTTCTTTAACTTTCTTCTGTTCTGTGCATCTGTCTCACTGTCTTTGTCTCCTTCTTTTCAAACCTTTTCTTTTCTTCTACATCTTCTTTCCAAATTCTACTTGGCAAATGTTGTGGAATATAAAACATGAAGCAGTCTTTTGTTTCTGGACACACCTCCTTTGTTCTTATTTCTCTCTGTTTCTCATTCACTCCCCACATTTAATAAAAAGGCAATGAGTGCTCGCAGGTTGGCATGTGCAACTGCTTAGTTTAGGCTTGAGTCACACAGGCCTTTGAACCGGTCAGTGAACCTCTGGTAACCACAGCATGCATATTTAATGAGTGGAGATATGTTGCAAATGGGTATATAGTGCTCCTCTGAAAACATCTTTCTTTGGTTGCTCACAGTTGCACAGAAGATGTCAACTTGCTTGCAAATCCGAGTCAACTACAAGCTGAAACTGGGCATTTCTTTTGCCTTCAAAGTAAAAGGCCATATTTCATGCAAAACACAGGAGACCACCACATTCTGCTAGTGACGAAAGAAATCACACAGAGGTTTTTGGTGCAGCACCTTCTTTGTGACTGATTTTACTGGTCATCAACCTCCTCTATATCTGCAGTCTATGCTAAGCCAACCATCTGCTGGGCCTATAATCAGCAGAAGGCCACGGGACAAGGCTGAATCTGATCATGGAGCTCTGAGAAAAAGTGAGCAGGCCAAGTGAATAAATGTTCAAATGGTGACGGCAGTCTCTCGTGAGGAGACAGAAGATTACGTTTCTGAGTAAATATTTAAACCATAACAGGTCAAGAGAAATGTTCAGAAAAGCTGAATACAGCCCACGTGTGACCTTTTTGTTACAGTTGGGGTAAACAAAGTCGGTCTGTTAGGGAACTAGACTTCTGTAGGTCATCTGTCCTCTAAAGTCTAGCCTGGAAACATTATCCAATCAGAGAACAGCTGCAAAGCAGAACAAAGACCACAGCAAATCATGCAAAAAGTAAGCTGCAGTGAAACACTGTATTAAGGACTGAAAGAGCAGATTTTAAATTCTGCTGGGAAATCAAAAATCATTCGCGACCTTTCAAAAGCTCCTTGACCTCGTATGCCTACAACTGGGCGTGGCTTAGAGAGGAGAGGGGAGGGTTGCAGGAAGTTTTGCCCTGATGCAGCTGTCGATCGCTCATCTGAAAGAAGGAGCAACAATACAGCACAGAGAAATAACTGCATGTTGGTTCTTGCTGACACTGTTTAAGGATTCAAGTCTAAAGTTCAAGTCTAAAACAAAGAAAGTGTCAGTCAGACGTCTTTATGCAGGAAAGTAAATCTCCAAAGGTTGATTCTGTTCATCTGGACGTAGCGTTTTGTGGGAAGTATAAATACTACGACTACAGTTTTTTGACATTAGAATTTAAAACATATAGTATCTGAATGTAGTACTCAGTATAATTCAGTCAGTTTTGGTGTTGTTATTAGAGAAAAGTCATGTATTACACATCACTCATTATGTTTCGTACAAGTAATGCAAAAGCAAATCATTATGTTATTTATTAACTCACAGGAGAAAGCGGTTAGTTACACTACACTCACTACATTACCTTCTTGTTACTCCATAAAATGACCTGAACCTGAACTTCACACCAACACAAATCCCTGATCTAATGAGAACACACAAATGACCTTTCTTTCAGTTTCTACATATGAAATGGTAAAATGGTAAATGGCCTGTATTTGTATAGCACTTTACGCTTTATATGAACACAAAGCTGACAACACAAAGGCTAAAAACTAGACTTCAAAGTTATCTCCACGGTGATTGGAAGCTTCACGTCCGACTGCTCATCTCTGCCTTTGTTACCTGTAGAAGTTTAGGGTTTCACTGCTGGGCTGGGGTCTGCATGCACTCAGGTTTAATATTGCTCTGGATTCTTGGTGTGCTGACTGTGTGGTGTGTTAGCAGTATAATGGGGTTGTGTCTGTCCTGGATGCAGTTGAAAATAAAAGTATTGTCCACATCTCTGCTGTAAACCGCTCCACCATTTTCCTCTTCCTGCACATGAACTGAAATCAGCTGTGCTGCAAACGTGCAGGAAGAAAAAGACATGTTGGTTTGACTTGGTTTCTTTCTATCCAACCAGCGTGCAGCTCACTAAATTTAGCGCTATAACATGCTATGTTACTGCACTCCTAAAAATGTAATGTGATCACAACCAACACTGTTCACAGTCATAGTGATACCAGCTATGATTGTAGTGGATGAAGTGGGGTGGGTTTGTCCGCATTGAAAACCCACTGCATCATTTTATTAAACATGTTTTGAGTGGTGACAATGTTGCAAAGCTGTCTTTCCCCATGGATCGGTTACCCTCTCTTTCCCCACTTCACTGTTATTTACTCTTCTTTATTTCTACAAGGGTAAATTAGTTTGGTCATATTTCCTCTGGCCTTTCACAGCACCTAAAGTCTACAGGCCACGACTAAAACTATTTCAAGTCTTCTCTTTCCTCCGGACAGTTGGTTAATTTGAACATCCAGATTCATGCAAATATCAACATTTTGATTTGCAGGGTAAAAAGCTGATTCTGTTTTTCTGCTGTTTTGTTGGTGACACATATAACCACAGCCCTGTGGCTGTGCCCCACTGCGGCTGGCTTTACTCGCTGAGTGTCGGTGGCTTAATTTAGAACTGCAAACAAACACGTGCATCATAAATGTCCATTTATAACGTCTCCTTACACTTTGCAGCCAGTGGCACCAATCATGACTGTGTGTGGGCAGCAGGAAGGAAAAAGAAGATTTTGGTGTTTTATAGAAAACCCATGTAGCATCTGTTCTCTCTAACAAAGAAGAACAATCAAGCTGTTCTTTCACATCATTAGACATCTCTGACACGCTCCATGACACTGTCTTGTAGGTGCTCACACCAGTTGAGTTTCATTTTACTTTACCTTACTTGCAACACGATCCTCTGTGCAGCATATATACATTTAACCCTCTTAATTTCCAACCCTTTTTCTGCTGAGCTGGAAGGAAAAACAAAAGCTATCTTCATAGCTGACTCACAGTCAGTGGTCCCAGGTTCCATTCCTAAAATCAATTACATCATGCACTCAAACATTCTTCTTTGTGCTGTTAAGTGGAACTGTTAAATTGATCTCATGTATCTTTTGCACATCACGCAAGTTGTGACAGATGGCAAGCAGTCGGCATCCTGCTGTACATCAAACAGGTCTCATTGTCATCTCATGACTGGAATCGAGGACTTTTCTGCTGAACACTGTATATAGAGCTTATTGAGCAGGCACCTATTGCTGGGATTTACATTTTAGATTTGATTTCTTCCAGGATTGCCTACTAATCAATGTCAAAGTTCTCCCATGAAAAATGAAATTGCACCAGATTTAAATGTGGCGATAAGCCTTCAATGTCATCTTCTCTTTGCATCTGTCCTTTCTTTAATTAACAATTTGTTTACAACATGTTTGTTTCCATAACGACGGAGATGATGGCGTTTTGAGAGATCCATCTCCTCGTTTATAACTTACTTGTTCGTGCATCGTTTTCTTAGAATGCATTTACTCAAATGTGTCTTCGTACATAAATGTTAGCCATAACGTTTATAAAATAATATAGGTGCATGTGTGCGTGGTGGAATGCGTGTGTATTAAAGTGAGGAGTTGTGTGTGTTCGTGTTTTCATTTCCGTCGCAGCGGTGGGTCTCTTCAGAGGCCTTGTCCTCCACCAGTAATTTGATTGTGGCAGAGCAGAGGAGACATAATTGTCTGCAGCAGGTCATCTCATGCCAAACAAAGCGTGCACGTGTTTGCTGTTTGTACTCTCCATCGTACTCCACCTCT